GAGAGAGAGAGAGAGAGAGAGAGAGAGAGAGAGAGGAGAGAGAGAGAGAGAGAGAGCAAAAGAGAGAGAGAGAGAAGGGAGACACAGACAGAAGAGCCGAGTGAAATTCTCACTGTATTCTGCCTCGTTCCGGTTGCTGGTGCTCAGTTTTTTGATGATCTCCTGCTTCTTGGATTTCACCATGGCGGAATTGCTCTCTGTCAGTTTGCTGAAGAACGCTGGCGGTTGGACGCTGTTTCCAGGGGATCGGGTGCAGCCTCTGCCGGATTGAAAAGATTCCCCGAGTCTTTCTCGGCTGACACCCCGAGCCACGTCACCCCTCACTTCGCTGTCCGCCCGGCTCCTTACCTCAGCTCCAGTTGCTCGCTCTCGCGATACAGAACAGGGTAGGCGCTGTTTCGGACACGCTCGGCTTCTGCGTTTCCCTCGGGCGGAGAGATCGGCTCGATGCAGTTGTCCGAAGATGGGATTTTAATTTGCTCAGGCGATCTGCGGAGGTTACGAGTGAGAAGGTGAGACTCGGGCAACGAGAAGCTCGCGAAACCAAAGGCAGGTGGGTTGAGAAGCTCATTGGAGGTTGAGAGTTGTATTTCTTCCATTGGGTGAGACGGGAAACAGAGGAGCCTTCTGATGGATGAAGATCTGGAGGTTTGAAGGACCCAAAACGAGAATTGCAACGAACAGGGTTTGTTTTTTTCCTTGAAGACATTTCGCTCCTCATCCAAGAACTGAAGAAGCTCCTTGGATGAGAAGCAAAACGTCTTCAAGGAAAAACAAGGAAGTCCAGTTGCCTTTTGAAAAAGCACCTTGGGGACAACCCTGACCTGGAGGACTGAGAAACTCCATAGACATGTAGGCCAGGTATGGACAGGGTGTCTCCTTCAGAGTTTGTACCACTAGTGTTTGTTTTCACAAACATGCGTAAGGGGTTTTGACACTCTCTGTTCTTTGAATGTGACCTCCGGGATGCTAAGTCTCCCACAAAAAAGATGTTGAGACCTTGGAAAAAGTTCAGAGAAGAGCAACTAAGATGATCAAAGGCCTGGAGACCAAAACATATGAAGAACGGCTGCGGGACTTGGTTTGGCTAGTCTAAAGAAAAGAAGAAACAGGGGTGACATGATAGCAGTGTTCCAGTATCTGGGGGGCTGCCACAAAGAAGAGGGGGTCATGTTATTCTCCAAAGCACCAGATGGAAGGACGAGAAACAATGGTTGGAAACTGACCAATGAGAGAAGCAACCTGGAATTAAGGAGAAACTTCCTGACAGTGAGGATAATTATTTATTTATTTATTTTATTTATTTTATTTATTTATTTTATAGGATTTATATGCCGCCCTTCTCCCTTCATGGGACTCAGGGCGGCTCACAGCATATTAAAACATCATACAAAAAAATTTCCCCTACTAAAAACCAATTAAAACCCAAATATTGGTAGCTGTGGCTCTTTAAAATCGTTAAAAATTGTCCCTATTTAAAACTCACCCTAGGTCAGG